GAGCAGTGCAAGCCTATCTGAACCTCCGAATGGGGGTCCCGCAGCAGCTTGCAGAACCCATACGCAAGGACTGTCGTGTCACGGTCAAGGATTCGGGTCATACTTCCCGTTCCAAGCAGTTTGTTCAAGGCCTCAGTCAGGAATGTAGAGTATGCGGGCGATACAGTACATGTCCATACACCAGTTTCTCCACATCCTACAGGTTCACTCTATCAAGAAGGCAATTTCTCTCAATTATGAAAACTTTCAGTTGTTAGCTATCAACACAGGAATCCCAGTTTACCAGATTGATCTTCCCCAACACCCCTGTCAGCGCGATTTTGGCCTGGTCGAAAAATCACCGTAGTTCCCCAAGGAATTACCTATTGTTCCCAAACCGCACGCCGATTTCTTTGGCACGGTGCTGACCGATAACTCTTCAGCCCAACCAGACGCGAAGAAACGTTTTTCTCAAGCGTCTCACGCAACTAAATGTTTCCATGACTGTTTTAAAAATAGGACCATTACCATCAATCGAAAACTTTTAGTACATTCCCAGATTGGTTTAGCCATCCTACTGGAGCAGGTGTATCTTCACTCAAACCTCACCAAATTGAACAACACCATGAGGTCTTACGTCAAATCATGTCGTCCCGAATCTCATACTTTTAACGGATTCTTCGACATGCTGATTCCCTTGAGCACATAACTACATTTCATTCAGCGCATGCGCCACTTGCATAGGAAACGTCCTGGCCACCTTCGAATACATTGGACCGAACTCACTATGACCCAGCCCAAGCCATTCAAAACCCCACAAATTTTGGCCCCTAGTTTTCCTTCCCGCGTCCCCACCAAATACACCATGAGATTTATCATCATTTCACAGAACGAGAGGTGGCTGCAGCTCACTCAAGATCTTCGATAATACTGGCCTTTGGAGGACCCTTCAACCGTTAGCTCAGAATAAGAAAGCTAGGGCCCAGTTAGAAGTTTTACGTTGATCAGCTGGAAGGGCTGCTGGCGAATAGCCTCACTTGTGAAGTTGCTTTGCGCGACTCTGAGAGAGCCAGAGAGAGGAAAAACTCGAATGCATTGGTGTGCTGCTGCAGTATCTGCAACGTTTGTGGCTCAAGCAAGCAAGAGGGTCTTGGGCGAGTGTGGTTAGTTTACAGCAAGTGCCGTGGCTGCAAAGACACATGCAATTTCACACACAGTATCCTGCACCTGTGCTTCAAGGTGGCGTGATGAGGCATTGTTCGTGCATCAATGCTGCGTTGATTACAGCATGTGATGCACCGCACAGTTTCATGTTTGTGCCCAGCTGTTGATGCTTTGACAAGGGATCATGATGTGAGCAGGGAATTTCTGCAAAGCGTGAGTGTGCTTAAAACGTATCCGGTCATGTATTATACATCGATTTGGTATTCTAGCGGTAGTCCAGGCGCAAGAGCAGCGTAAATTCTCCTTTGTGGAAACATGCCTCTGCTGGCTGCTTTGGTCTTCGCCGGCTCGATTTTTGGATGCCGAAGTGCAAACTCTTGATGCTTGGAATTGGTTTCAGCCTTTTCAGTCCATGAAGAAAAGCACACCACAAATAGTAGAACGAAGGGCTAGTCGGTTTGGGCACGGTGAGTCACGGTGAGTTTTTACATTTGAGCAAGGCTGGTCTGACGCCTTCAGTTTTGCCCGGTGTTGCCTGGTGGATAATGCAGAGGCGCGCAATGCACCTTACATGTCTGCGTAACATGTCTTTTTTCCTTGCCTGTTCCTTGCCCAGTGCTGGGGTGGAACATTCACCTACGAACGATGCTGCTTGCAAGAGTCCTTGATGTCAGAGGCAGATGCTTCTTGCCTGAAAGAGAAACGCAGCGCAGCAGAGCAACATGATGTAGCATGTTTTGCGGTTTCTTGTCGTGGCTGTGCTTGATTGGAACTGCGTAGGGTCTCTGGTTCAAGTTTCGTTTTTAGTCTGGAGCTCCGACTCCGACCCTTTTACACAAGAGTTCGGAGAATTCACCTGTCTGCCGTGACAAGGCTCGCGAAATCCAAAAGCTTACCGACAGTGTTGCTCTGATTCGATTAACTTTGTAGCGGTGCCGGTTTTTGGTTTGTTTCTCGTAAGATGACACATGAACCACGGGACGCTAAGACGCTGGATTGTGGCTGCGCAGTGCCCGACTTGGGGCCACCAGCCTTTCAGGGTGGATCATTCACATGGTGCCCCTCGGCTTTTTGTAGAGATGTCAGCGTGCTTCGATGTCCAATTTGGCACAGCTGTGACACGAGAAATGTCTTGTCCGTGCTTGCAGGCAAGTATCGTCAAGCAGTAATGTTGAATCAGGTGGGGCTGTTAGATTGTGTTTTGAGCATGAAGATTGCCTTTGTTCCTGATCGTGTCTTTTGATTGGACCCCGATGCAGATCCAACATATGCGTTGCATGCAGGACCTGCGCCCATTTTATATGCCCTTTCTGGAGATCTCTGTGGCCACGCTGAGTGTTTGCCCGCTTGGGGCTCTGTCCATGATGCTCCTCGATGCATCGTTGAAGATGACAAACTCGCAGGACAGGATCTTGGAAAGTTCGAATGGGTGAGACGATAACAAGATTGAATTTGGCCTGGAGGTGCCCCCGGACTTGAAGAAACTGCCGAGCTTCTTGAGGAAAGACGGGTTTCAAATAAGCGGTGGAGAAGCTTGCTGCTGCGCACGAAGACAGGTCAAGGATGCGACTTTTAGGAGAAGCGATGCATGCCGCATTGATTTCCCACGTAACGGTGGCTGACTTGCTGAGAAGTTGGTTGTGTGCAATCGAGCAGCTTGTACGTCTATCTGTGAAGCACATGGTGTTGCACGACCGTTCAATTGATTTGGCATCGATCAAATTGGATCCGCCGGTGCTGGGTGCGGCCTTTAATTCATGGTGGTTGGCGATGTGACGTCATTGAAGTTACGCATTCATGCCCCGGTGTTAGGTGTACTTGCTGAGGCTGCTCCTTTCTACTGCGTTCGAAATCGCGTGAAACGGTGCTTGTGTTACCTGTCCTGTCGTTCCCCAGGGCACAGGAGATGATGCATCTGCTGCTGCAGTCGGATTCCGTGTCCCTCATCGGCATGGCGACGTCCGGATGGATGATCTTCAACCAGGCCAGCCAATTGTCGCACATCAGCGTGAATGTTTTGTCTGGTCCGCCAGATGAGTAACCTCCGTGCAGCCGTGCAGAGACGTTTGGGTGGTACATGGGGCGATGTTGCCCCATGCCTGCAGCTGCCGGAAGCTGGGACCCATGCAGCCAGGAGCCATTTGCTGCAAGTAAGAGATAACAACGTTGCACGTGCAGAACAGTCATAGTCTCAAGATGCAGGGTTGGCTAGTGCTGTTCCTCTGACTCTGCAAGCAATGGATGTAAGTGACCGCAGCGTAAAAGCAGGAGGCGGAAGCAGCCTCTGTGGCCTGTCCTGGCAGGATGGCTAGGTACAGCATTGCAGCTGCATTGCAGCTACATGTCCTTCCTGCAGGATTTACCAGCTCGTCACTGATGCTGTGAACTTCATGCCTATAGGCGGGGCGTGATTTCGGGGCAGGCATTTCCAATTTGCGCTAGGGCTAGAGCTCCAGTCCTTATCAAGTGTTTGTAGTGTTTACTGGGGCCACGTTTGATGATTTTGCAGCCTTCGCCGTTCGGGAAGTCCGTTTGTTTCCCTCACGTACTTGCTGTGTCACACAATGCGTTGGAGGTATAACCAGCCTCCTTCAGACCTTGCTGGATGCAAGTGCATCAACCGTAACTTGCAGTCTGGCACGTGCTGGCCTGCTGTTGTAGCTCGTCTGCAGTACTGCAAAGTTTTTGCGCGAAGCAGTTCAAGCTAGTCTTCCATGCTTTGTGTTGCGGCCTTGCCTTGAGGATCGTAGCGCAGTCCATGCTGCAGCAGACAGTTCAGCCGGAAGAGGAGGCCATCGCAAAAGTGCCAGGACCGTTCGTCCATAAACGAGTTCGTCTGCTGCTGCGACCTTGGTGCGACGGGGAGGAGTGCCACCCGGGCCTGGCATGGAAGCCAGGAGCCTGCTGCGAACAGGCGAGGCCAGCCTACGACGCTTGTCTATAGCGGCTAGCAGTGCGGGAGAAAGCAGAGATCTTTGCACATTGAGGTCAAGGGCTGGACTCAGAAGCCAAAGCCTACCGACTTGGAGTGCTGGGTGTTTTGATGGCGTCTCCGTGGCCAATCACCGAAGTCTTGGATCTTCTTAGCTATCCTGGCCGGCTGGTGTTGCCGGTCAGCTCCTCAGCCCCTAAGAGCCCCAGTCCCAGACCCATTGCACAGCGCCTTGCGCTTGCGAGGTCGCCAATGCAATGCAGACTCTTCTGGAATTGCGACAGGTGAGTTGCCTAGTTGCTCTAAGTTCAGACCCAAAGGTGCTTCATTTGCTGAGGAGCATCCATTGCTGGAGCGAGCCCTGACCGCGGCAAGTGGCCACAGCGGGAGCAATGCGGAGCCCAGGAGCTCCTAGGCTTCAGCCTGTGCGTCTGCAGCAACCTTACGTGGATTTGGGGAGATGGTTGGGGGGCTATGCGGCTACGGTGGGAGTCTGGCAATCATTACGTAGAATGAACCTCGGATGCGAAAACATCGGCAGAGATCAAATTTTACCAAAGTCCTGAAATGCGAAAGCATCCACAGTGTCACAGGCTCGAGTTTCCACAAAATGTGAGTACTTGTGTGGCCCCCGAGTTGGATACTTGCCAATGTTTTCGTATTTCAGGCTTTACATATTGGCGACCTCAGATGCGAAAGCATCGCGAGGGATCAACCATCCGCAATATCATAAAATGCCGTCAGGCTCAAAACACACAAAGTGTGCAAAATCACAAAAATCTGAAAACAGATGGTCCTATAGATGCCAGGATGTTGGCGATCTTGGTGATTTCTGAGCCCTGCCGAGGTTTGCGAACTTCAGCCTAAAGTTGAACAGTATATTGTAGTAGCAATATTGGCAGTACTAGAAGAACAGCTGTATCACTTACTATTGAAACACGCGTGTGGACGCTGTAGAAAGTTTCATGCGGACACACAAGATTTGTATAACCTTGCATCTTATTTAGAGAAGGTCGAGTCCGTTTTTCTTCATTGAGCAAAAGTCTTGCTAAGTCATGCAGAACTCTTCACGTTCATTGAACAGAAATAAATGGTCTCTCTGTCTCTCTCTGTCTTTCTGTCTCTCTCTCTCTCTGCCTCTCTCTGTCTGTCTCTGTCTGAGCATGTTTTTCATTTTTGCTATGAGGAGACAAGACGGGCTATGTCATGTTATATTGAAGATGCAATGTGCAGTGGCAATTAGGCTCTGTTTCGGGGTTCAGGTGGGTTTCGGGTGACATAAACAAGTCAAACAAGTAGTGGCATATGGGCGAAGTGGATGAACCTCTTTATACCTGGGAGACAACAGATAGAAGATAGTGGAAGAACAGTCGACAAGAATATGTGTGAAGACAGACAGATAGATAACTAGAACACGTGTAATTCAATTGTGCAACACACAAGCCGAGATGCTCAGGCGCAAGGTTTGACGGTTTATCCCGCCTGTTGACAGCAGGACCGGTAGTCATAAAGTTTCATGTGACATTGAGGCAGTTTTGGGCAGGGCAGAGCGTTAGCCAAGCACCACAGCCAGAGAACTCAGCTGGCCTGTGTGAGATGTAAGACACCGCTTCGCCGAGGTTTTTTTCAATTGACCGACCGACTCAATAAATGAAGGTGTAAATGCAGAGTTTCTTGCTTTGTCACTTTGGCCAGGCTACATTTTCCGCGTGAACCCATACCGAGAAATGGTCAGCGATATGGTGCGCTACACAAGGCTTCCATTCTGTGGCTTGCGGCCATTTATGCGGATGGTTGCAGACATTGCGAAAGACGCGCTCCAAGCGGGCTGTGCGACAAACGCTGCATATTTGGGTGATGCAGAGACCTGCAAGTTCACCTTCGTCGAAGGAGGTGCTGTTGACGTTTGCTTAGAGAAAGCCTGTGGTCGTCCACTTCTAAACGAACCTCTCTTTGAAGTGTTTTCCACGGGTAACATAGGATTATGAATGTTGTTACATGCAGTATATGACACGGTGACAAGCTCCAGTCTGCAACGGCGACAGTTGCAGCTATAGCCGGGTAAGTTCAGCGATTGATGTTGGGAAGCATCCTTGGACGGTCGTAACCAATCGTAAAAGTGCATTGTAAGGGACTTGCAGCCTGGTCCTGTCTGCTGCCAGGCCCTCACCTGGGCGACTGCGCATTGTGGGCATCCGCAAGCCTCCGTGTCTTGTCTCTCATGTGCAGCATGCAGCGGCTGCTGCGGTGGAGAGACGTCACTACTCCTAGGCCTGGCTGGGGTGCAGACACGGGCTCTTGCCTTCGAGCCATTACCCGATGCAGCCACCCTTTTTCAACAGAGCCACAGCAGCAGAGTATGCCGGGTTCTTGAACACAAAGTCCATCTGCTTCGAATGTCCTGAAGCGAGGAGTGTAGCCGAGAATGGCCTATCTGCATCTGTGCAAGTGCGCAATGCAGCACTTGGGCAGATGACTGGCCAAACGGAGCTGATCCATTTCCGAGGTCACAACGGTCAGGAGCCGAACTTAAACTGCGATGCAATACAATACTGTTACTAATGCATTTCTGGTGCATGATGCTGGCGATCCTACGCAAGAAGAGGACGGAGGGCCTCCTGATCGGACGTTTCATTTCCCCTGAAGGCAACCGTGAATGACTACGATTTCCCATCGCAAGACAGACGTGAGGCAGTCAATGCACGAGTGTTTTCACTGCCGAGTGGACGCGAAAGCCATGGACACTATGTTTCAATGTGCCCTGGCCCAGGTTGTGACAATACCTGCCGTAGAGGTGGCTTTGGATGATGAAGTACCTGCGAACTGGCCGCAGATTGATGCTCTCAAGTTGAGCGTTAACGGCGCCGAACGAAACACACTTGTCCGCCCCTCAGAGCTGTTTCTTGGCTTTCGAGCACACGACCATTCCAAGCTGCAGCGACTCAGGCAGGTGCCAGAAAGCTGCTGTCGAAGAAACGGGTTTGCTCTGTGCCTTGGTTGAAAGGAATCTCGGGGCTGCGAGGTTTGCAAAAGGTCGTGCAAGCTGCCATGCAGGCGGTAAGAGTCCTGAGGTCCTCATGCATGCGACGAAATGCAAGCGGTCTCATGGCTTCCATCTAAAGGTTTCTGGTTTCTTACTGATTACTCCTTGCCCCGGACTCTCCGGAGGGGCAGACGTCCGCCTTCCGAAGATCCTGCTCCGAATTCAAGGGCTTCCAAGCTGCTTGGCACTGGGGAGCAGCTCTCGAGTCTGATTCCACTGCAGCCACAAGATTTGATCTTGATGACAACTGAGGTTTGCCTATGATTTGATGACGTTTCTGAGTGAAGGGAGACTAAGCTGAACGGGCGTGAAGTAAGACCGAGTGCTGGGCAATCTAGTTCTTGCCCGTGGTAGTTGCAAAGAGAAAATTCCAGCGGGTCCTGCAATTGAGAGGTTTCGAAAGCAGTGTGGTACGTAGTATGGTGTTCTGGCGTTTAGAGAGAATCGGTTAACTGCAGCAGTACTTCGGGGAACGCATTAGCGGTCCTCCTGAATCCCGCCAATATACCACGAGTATCTGGAGGAAAGCATTTTCGCCGTGGTCCTGGATTCGCCAGTACCTGCGGGATTCTGGCCGCGCTTTGGTAGTCTCCTGGTGGGCTTCTGGTTGTGTCCTGGTGCTGTTCTCTCCGTGGTCTCCTTGTGGTTTGTTGGCGATCTCCTCGAGTCTCCGGGTCTCCTGGTGCCGGTCTCCTGGTGCTGGTCTCCTCGTAGTCTCCTCGTGGCCTCCTCGTGGTCTCCTGGTTGAAAGTCGTGGTCGCCCTGGTCGTAGCGGTGGTCGTGCTCCTTCATTGATTGGGGATCAACGCCGGCAGAATCTTGAGCTTAAGCTGAACAATCAAATGTCGACGAACCGAGCTAGCCCCAGAACCGAACCAGGAACAAACATGGGTGGAACGGTGGAACTTCGGCATTCAGATACTGGTGTTGCTTGCATGGTCCCATCCTCCAACATGATGTCATTGCCGCAGTCTGGCAGACTCTCCCAAGTGTAAGATGCAGTGACGGTTTCGGTGACTGGCCGCCTCTGGGTCGCGATCGACACCTTCCTACACGATAGCCCAATGCTCCTCTGAATCAATTTTCATCAAGTTTGCCAAGTCTTAAGTCCGCAGCTGCATCTGACCACGTCTACAAGCGATGCCCCAGTTTCCAGGTAGATGAGCACACAATGCAATGCCGGGCTTCCTCCTCGGCAAAGACTGAAGCTGTGCTCCGGTGAGATCACGGTGTGTGCGAAGCAGCATCGCTGGATCCAAGCTCTGCAACTGCTCAAGGACATATCGTTGGAATTACAGCCAGATGTGGTCGTACTGAATGCCGTTCTGAGTGCTTGTGCCCGCGCAAACTGCTGGGTCACCGTTCTAGAACTCTTGCAGTCCATGAAGTTGCAGACGATGAAGCCGAACATCGTATCCTACGGCGCAGCAATATCCGCGTGTGCAGATGCCTGGCAAGCGGGCCTTCATCTTCTGGCCGAGGTGTCAAGTCAGAGACTAGAACTGAACGTTTTCGTCTGCAGCTCTGCCATCACAGTTTGTGGAAGCCAGTGGCAACGAGCCCTCGAAATTTTCAAGGAAATGTATGCTGTGGCTGTGCTACCCAACCTGGTGACTATGGGAGCTGCCATAACTGCATGCGAGCGCGGTCAACAGTGGCTGTCAGCCTTGGACCTGCTTCAGCTGACGGAAGCTGCAGGATGGAAATTAAACTTGCAGATCTTGTGTGCCGCGATGAGTGCTTGTGGAAAAGCTGGCCACTGGCAGCATGCAGTTGCACTGCTGGAGGAGCTGCCCGTCCAGAAGCTCGAAACAGAATCCTATGCGTGCAGCACGGCAGTTAGTGCCTGTGGCGGGGCTGCGCAATGGCAGCGGGCCCTCTGCCTCTTCTTCGATCTCTCAGCATCAGCAGTCAAAGCCAACGAAGTCGCTCTGGGATCGGCCATCGCAGCGTGTGAAGCAGCGGGCCGTTGGGAAGTCGGCCTTCGACTCCTTCGCAAAAGTGAAAGAATGAACATAATGCTGGACCTTGCGTGTGTGAACTGTGCCATCGGTGCTTGTCAAACGGGAAGCCAGTGGCAACTGGCACTGTGTCTGTTTGCGGACTTGAGAGCGTCAATGCGACATCTCCGACCCAACGATCTAACCTACAGTGCCCTCATGCGCGCATGTCGACGGGCCTGCCAGTGGGAGATGGCACTGAGCCTGTGGGCAGAGTATGAAGAAGTCCATCACATGTCGAGTCTTCTCCCACTCAGCGAAGCGGTGAGTTCTTGTGAGTCTGGCGAAAAATGGGATCTGGCGCTATGTCTGCTAGGAAGATGTGTGGATTTCCGGCTTCGGCTGGACGGCATCCTCTGCGCGTCTGCGGCCAGCGCATGCCAGAAAGCACGTCGATGGCAAGAGCCTCTGCACGTGCTTCATCTCATTCGAACTGGAGGCCTTGAAGCGAATTTGATTGCAAGTAGTGCTGCCACCATGTCCTGCGGGCTGGTACCTTCACAGTGGGAGCGTGTGGTTCAACTGGTGGCACGGATGGACATGCTGTGGCAGCGTGATGCTGCAATTCAAGCTGTGTTCGCGGCTACCTGTGAAGCCGTCGGGCTGGGGCATGGCTTGAGTGAATTGCTGGAGGAGACTGCTGAGCTTACGCTTGTGGCACTAGAGCCCGTCGAAGCCAGAAATAGTGCGCGAAACGGCCTGTTGCAGAGGGCTCTGGCACAGACTGGGTTGGGGTTGGTGGACTAAATATTAAGCGGGCAAGGTTACAGCACCATTCGCTTCTTCTTTGTAGCTGAGGAACATGGATGTTTACGAACACAATGATGCCACCTCTGGACAAGGCCTGCATGTGCATAGTGCCGGCGCTTTGTAAAGGGAACAGTGCGATGGTTTCTGAGAAGGACGCGGGCGAGTTCAACGAGTTCGTTCCGCGGACGAGATGGATTCAATCTTCGACCATCCTCAGCTTACGGAGCAGGCTCTATCCCTAAGCACGGGAGGGGCAACAAGGGAAGGGAGGATAAGGAAGGCGGGGAACTACTTCGACACGAATGCTACTACTAATGCTACTTTACTGCTGCTGCTACTCGCACCATGCCTGCTACTTGTGTTAATTTGCGTGTGCAACAGCGATGACAACAACAGCAGCAACAACAACAAAAAGCAATGATAGCAATAACAATAACACTAGCAAGACCAATAACAACAACAATAGCAAAAACAGTAACAAGAACACTAACAAGAAAACACCGTTTACAATATCAATAACAATAACAAGAACAACAACACCTGCAGCAGCAGCAGCTGCTGCTGCTGCAGCAGCAGTAGCAACAACAACAACCGCAAACCACTTTGGCCGCCTATTTGTCGACTATAAAGTTTGGGGTCTTCGGTGGTGTAATTATGGGTGCTGAATTGGCAGAGGTGCTTTGTGCAGTGCGAAGGAATCAGGGCAGAGGGCGGGTGGAACAGACATTGTATGATAAAAGATGCAATGCGGAGGAAGAAGACCGGCAGGAAGAAGGGAAGGGAGTGGGGAACTGCTGCGAGCGCGGTGCCGGGGAAGCACAGGCAGAACATCAATGAAACGGAAAAAACTCAATCGGTGGGGGTGGAAGTGCGGGAAGGGTGGGAAGTGCGGGAGAGATCCACCACCCGGATTGGCGGACCTGCACCTTTTGAATGTCGAGCATGTGCAGTGACCGAAAGCGTCCGGCTGCAGGTCTACTTTCTGGCTCTTTCTCGGGACAGCCACTGCGGCCGTGCACAACGCCATTTCCACGCAGCAGCTGGAAGACCTGTAGATGCACCGTTAGAAGATGGAGGGCAAGCCTGAGGCAGTTGGGAGTACTGTCTCCGCAGTTTGTGCGCGACTGACAGGATCTTGGGGTTTACGGATTTGGGTTTGGTGATGTGTGCTTTTGCACACTGAAACACGGCTTAGGCTCAAGTTCTGACATCTTGAGATGTCGCTCTACTTCTGAAGGAAGGGCATGGCAAAGTGCCATGCCGAGTTGGACGTGGAGTCCAGTTAATAGTTGCTGTGCAGGCTTCAAAGATGCTCTCCCGACTGAGGATTGAAGCACAAGCCATGCATTTCGACATTGTATGTTTTCACATCCGTGCCAGTGCTGTACAGCAGGGATTGGATGGCACAAACACATGACCAAGTGGCGAACGAACAGCTGCCGGCCCTACCTGCACTGGGATGTTTCTCCATTTGACAAATTGAACATGTCAGTCCTCCCGGGATGCTTGCAGCATTGCTAAGCGGGCACCTTGCAAAGTACACGAAGGCCGGACAGTGGCAGCGCTTGAATTTACTTGCAGTTGCAAGCCAGTCCTTCACAGGAAGCGCTGCTGAGCAGTCCTATGTTTTGCCGGTTTGCGCAAGAGTCCTCGAGGAGAGCGCAGGGGGCCTTGAATGAGGCTCAAGCCCTGAATCAGGTCATGCATCGAAGTGGCATTTGCCGGGCATGGGCATGATTGTGCAAGGCAATGCGAAGTGCACAGCCGGTTATCCAGAAGGCTGTCGCGAGGAGTCAAGAGACCATCAGGCCCCCCCGCAGGCCGCAGGTGGGTTTGTAGCCAAGCTCTCTAAATTCCTTGTGCAGGGAGCTGGAGCGGAAGGCCGGCTCGGCCGGCTCCAACGCAAAGTGACACCTTCGAATCTTCGACGTCCGGGCAAAGTACAGAAAGGCCCTTAGGGCGGCCTGGGCCTTCGTCCTTCGCGCTTTCCACAGGTGCTTCGGAGCGTGTTCGAGGGCGCCAAACGGCAAGACATTTGCAAAGGAAGCAGACGCGGCAACACGTTGACTTGCCATGCAGCCGAGACAGCGAAACGTACCTGTCATTTGTGAGCCGTTTGGCTCAGCAGCATCCAACCGAAGCAGTCGGAGGCAGTCTTCTTTCTATTCTTTGTTTGCTTGCGGTGCTGTGCCGAGCTGTGCAGCAGATTTATGTCATTATGCATATGACCTCGTTTGCACATCTAAAAAATTGCCGAAGCATCTGGACAAGCATGGGGCCCACCACGTGGCCATGTGCGCCTACCATTTCCCGATGCTTTCTTGCTATCGTGGTACAGACAGAAGTGTCCGGCGGAAGATAGGGTGACGGAAAGAGATCTCGTCATACCTGTGTATGAGCTATGGCAGCTATGGGCTTGAAAGTTGCAGTCAAGCTAAGCTGATCATCTTGCTGGCAGAAGCCGCTGGGAGGCCTTTTTTGATAGTGATGGGGATACACCCGAGGCTTTGCAAGAACCCGAAGTGAGCTGAGGGTCCTGATATTGTATCTGACTGACGGACAAGACGGCATTGCTTTGCCCAGAACCCAATTTGCTTTTGTTTGGGATGTGGCCAGGTGGCCCTTCACCGGTTGCACGGCCATGTGCTCGGATTTGATCGAATCACTGTTTGTACTGCCATGCTGACACTGACACCACGGTGTAACCGTAACCTCTTGGCTGATTGACCTGAGAGACGACCCCATGAGTGATCCGGATCACGTCGTGGTGATCCTCACGCCACCAATAAGACTGAATCCAGGCTCTTGGCACCAAGAGCTCCCGTGTCAAAGCTGAGAGGAACGTATCGTGCACGGAACCCAGAGCTTGGTCAGAGTTTGCAGCTTCTTTGCACCCTCCTGCAGCATTTTCTGCATCAAGTGCTGGCTGCATTGAGGTGAAGCGACGTTGTTAGAAATATGGAGCCTTGCATGTGTTAAGATATGTCAAGACAAGAGGTCTATGACTGCATCTTTCCAATCAGCTTGTCCAAGGAAACTCTTGGACAGAAGGCCTGCGCAATGTGTGTCTTGCGCGACGAGCTCAGGGCACCGGCCAGACACGTCTGAGGCTAAGTCGCTAAGCCTTGCAAGACTCTGAGGAGACCGTTTGGACGGCAAGGGCCCGAGGGCCAAGGTCTCAAGCAAAACGACTGAGTGCATAGAGTGCAGGGGGAGCACTTCTCCGACTTCTCTGTGCTTGAGGACCCCTCTGTGTTCCCTTGGAGCTTTGCAAGGGTTGCTTCGAGCACCGGTTGTGTCGTTCAGGATGGACTCAAGAAGGCCGGCGCGATTGCGACCTGTTTCGCATCCCTGGTGCCACTCAGCTCAGGTGGTGAGCGGGGAGAAGGATTGCTGGAGGCGAGCTTTTGCAAAGCTTTCGAACAGGGGTGCTGGTCTTTGCTGGTAGGCTCCTGGCCGATGCCGCTGCTGACAACCAGGGTTGCAGCGGCCATAGCGATGCTTGTGGCATAGTGACATCATCAAGCCCAGAGCTGCTCACTAATTGCAGCCATCTAGCGGCTTCATCGCACTTGTCCGACATACATACAGATCCAATGTCAGACCCACAGATCCAGGCACGCTTGTGAAGTGATTCTCTGCTTCACCGACCCCAGAGGATAGTCACGTTCTTCCCTGCCTCGAAACTGACCCCGTGAGAAGACTTGAACTGGAATGAGACATGTCTTGGTTGCATCGTTTCTTGCTTAGTGATTCAACCGTCATAACCGTGTGCTTCCATCGCAGATCTCATGTATGCGTGGGAGGTGCAGGTGGCTGGCACAAGTTGTTAGTTCCCAGAGGCAGCACCAGCACACCGAGCACATAGGGTTTTCGAACCGCACCTGACACGCCGAAACCTTGACTCCGGGTCTAGCACGCCCGGTACAAGTTGCGGAGGCTGAACCTCTGAAGCTCCTTGTTAGGCATTCTTGAGGCGTCGGTGTTTCATGTCCTCGCACTTTTTGATGCCTTTGATGCGAGTGATCTTCTTGATCATCATCGCATGCTTTTTCTTTGTCAGGACGGCTTGTATCCTCCCAGGCAAATCCCATTCCGGAGAAGGCTTGTCTTTCGAGCCCATCATTTGAATATGTATACACATCTTGATGATTCTTGATCGTCCAAGACGGGGGAGTTTCAACAAGCTTGGCCAGTGTTTGCAAATCTTCTGGAATTCTGCGGTGGCATCGACCGACCTGCCAGAGCCTGCATTGGCGTATCTGAGGTGCAGCTGCAATGGCTTCGATGCTCGGGATCGAGCCTCAGAAACTTTGCGAGAGGCAACGTTGTTCGAGTCGTCTACCGTCAGGGAAATACTAGGCAAGAAACAATATCTTTACCCGAATCATGCAAGTTCTGGACACTTTCTGAATTTTGTGGGTTCTTCTGGGCATTGTTTTCGTTTAAAGTCGAGACCTGATCGCAGGGACGAGAATTATAAGTTGTATATAAGCAATCTAGGTAGGTCGGGTAAGGGCATGTGAATGATTTGTGGAAGTTGCGGCAAGGAGCCAGCAGGAGCATGTTTCTCTGAGAGTAGTGTGTCGCAGTGCAACAAATGCCTCTGGTTCGACCCTCGCACTGGTCCAGTTCGTGTGGTTCGCGGAACGGTCGTTGTCACCGTCCAGGGTTTAGTTGTGCAGATCAGTTCTAGTTGCAGCATGAAGCTGCTGTGTGGTTCAACGAGTTACGGTGCCGGCGAGTGTTACGTTGTTCAACAGAGCACAGAAGAGAGCAGCTGCGTCTGTTGTCCGGTTAGAGGCAACGACGTTCAGTCACGGTTTGCCTGAGCAATGGGTTGAGGATGGCCATCGGTGACGCTGTGGGAGCTCCGTTAGAGGCACACGTCGGAAGCACGATACTGCAAAACGAGCAAGACTTGTTGTGTCCCGTGCCTTGACAGTTCCTGCCGGTGAACCAGCTTCTCCCTGACCACCTCGGAGGGTAGCGTCCTTTTCGCACGTCGTGCATCTGGGGTTTCAACAGGCATATGCATGCTTTGTTAGGTACTCGGACGCGCGGCGGTCGATGCCCCAGCAGACAAAAACGCAACTCTTGCTCAGCAGTGTTTCGGCCATTCGCCTGGTACTTTGCGGCACTGAAGGCCATGTGTTCTTCCACCGGGTAGATGGCCCAGGGTTGGGTGACAAGCATCACTTCGTGGCACTGTCATGTGGATGCAGGACTGAAGGAGTTCGGCCCGCATCCTAGAATTTGAGCTGCTGTGAGTGGGCACACTATTTTGCAGCGAGCTTATGGAGTTATGCCACATGGTATGCTTTTTCGACCAATGCCCAATGTCCTTCATGAATTCCGCCCCAGTGTGCTGAATTTTTCTGCTAATCGCAATAGGAACCAATGCAGGCAAGCAACGAACCGCTTGAGACTGCGTTTCTAGAGTTGCCGTTTGCAGAGAACAGTCAGACAGCAGCACAGATATGAAGCCAGCATGCACCCAACAGCAGATGTCGCTGACACTCAACCTTAGCAGCCTGGCCCTGCCCATTCCGCAAAGGCGATCAGAAACACACAGGTTCAAATGCGCTTGCTCGGCGAATGTCGGTCAACCTTTTTTGATTATACCTTGAGTTGCCCAGTTTTTAGTCTGCAGTGCTACGCTCAAGAGCAAGTGTCGTCTGTACTTCGCAGAAATGGCATGCACTGGTGCTTCTGCATTGGTGCCTTCCGGTCACATTTCCCACGTACCCGACAACTTATCCATTACCTCGCCTTGTTTCGCTTTGCGTCTGGTGACGTGTGATGGAAACTTCTCACTGCAAGCTGATAACTCAGCTTCCCGAAGATGGTGCCTACAGTCCTTGTGCGATTTGCAGGAGCGTGGGTGAACTGGATTGCCCGTCGTGTGCAAGTTTTGGGGCTGCAGGTGACAAGTTGCAGTATCGGAATCCGTCCTTCTGACCTGTTTCCGCTTCCTCATAGCCGCAAGAGCTGTGAGCTGCTCTGCGGAGGTACAACAAATTCCAACTGCTGCCTGGTCAGTGGCGATGTCCTCAGCCTGGTTCAACCTCCTACAGGACTCCTACACGCTTCCATTCGTGGGAGACAAGGACGGATGACACGAGTATGGCTCTCTGTCCGCTCCTTTGTTTTGCTTGACTGGTTGCAGCTGTCACATGTCTCCTGCCTGCCCCGCGTTGCTCTGCCGGAGCAAAGGCCTTGCCGATTCTCTTTTGGTTTGTCAAGGCCTATCGGCGAGCCTGTCGTCCCATCAACACCTTGGGCTGCGCGCTTTGTGTGCGGTGTGCAGGCTACAACGGATCTGACGTCCGAGCCCGATGGCACATGTGGTCGCTCGATGCGGGTGTTCAAGCCATAGGATATCTGTTGACGACTGCCGACTTCGACGGTTGAGTGTTGTTTGAGTGAGTTGTCGTTGGCATCTGCAAGTACTCATTTCTGCGCTTGCCAGGTGGTTTCAGGGCTACTGCAATTCCTTCCGTCATGATGGACATCGTCGCTACCGCACGTGAGGGCCCGGGTGTTTACCAGGCGTCTCGCCAGCCCATGCGTGTACAACTTGTACGATCGGCTCATTGACATTGTGTCCACGCGCCTTTTCAGGCACAGCATCGGAGGCGCTCTTTGAAGCGTCGCGCTCCACGTGTGGTGAAAATGTAATCTTAAGTTTTTTCGAAGACAGTGGTGTGCTTATAATGGCCGGAAGTCGAACTGCTCTCTCAATCCGGCACCGCTCCGTTGGTCCTCACATGCGGCCGATCAGTCAAGTTTGTCTTAGTGCATCGGGCCAGTCAGTGACGTACTCCTCTTATACGACCCCCGGTGTCGCCGAGCCACTTCCAGCGCAAAGATGACCATCGCGGCCAGAAACGGCATTCTTGACATCACTGCCAATATTGTTATTCGTGACAGTGGCTACGGCTACAGTAGTGAGGTCGCTGATTCACGAACGAACGCTGGGGCCGCTGTGTTTTTGCACCATCCGGTTTCGCGTTTTCGACGCTGTAGTCTTGGTCAGATCACAGACTAAAGAAAGATCAGTTGTCTGGAAGCTTCGGTGTTGAATTAAAACGCTGCTTCTAATGTCCAACCTACTTTTGTTAGAATGATGTCTCAATCGGCCCGATTGGTGCAGGCATCGGATCGGTGATGCAGAGTTTTGGTCTTAGCTGTGAGGCCAGCAGCACCTTCCACCTAAGCAAGACCAAATGACTTGGCTTCTGAGGCTACACAAAGTCCTGAACATAATTCAGCACAATTGATGCAATTCAGTGCTTCTTCGCGCCTTTGGCGCGTTTCGTGCTCAGTTGGGGCTTGTTCGGCGCCGTTGGCATACTTCCGGTGCAATTGGCACAATCAGTGTATGCTCAGTGGAGCCACCGAGCCCACATGCATCTTGGCGGTGGATTGGAGGCCGAAGCATCGCAAGGCGGCGTGGCGATGCGGGCAGCTCGGACATCGCGTCCGCCAGATCCCTCCAGACCGGCGCGGATGGCAGGGAAGGACGGAAGGCACGGAAGGTGCGAAGGGCGTCGGCAGCGCGAGTGGCGCGGTCAGCGCAGGAGTGTGCAGCATGGCTCGGAATATCTTGCACGTACATGAAAGAGGGGTCATGCAGCAAACTTCCCGTGGAACAAGGCATGGCACGCGGAGAGCCCCTACACCCAACCCCTGTAAAACTTGGTTTGGCCCAGGTGGTAGGAAAACCGATTGGTGTCGCTGTCGCTTGTTTTCCTCAGGTCAGTCGGCCTTGGGGGCAACGTGGCGAAGTCTCTAGCCGCACTCCTGGCTTAGACCACAAGGTGGACGACATGTACCCGTTACCTCAGGCAGAGGTCGAACGGGTGGCTGCTCGCGACGGTTTGCATTCCGTGCCTCCGATATACGGATCAGTCACCAATGACGCAGGCATCCTCGTTGAGTTAGCAGTGCTCATGTGCACCGCACATGCACAAAGGAGCAGCGTTGATAACTTGTGATGCCGGTCACAGGCAATGGCTCCATTATGCGTCTGGCTCCGGTGCGCCTTCTGCTCCTTGAATGGTCACAGTGATATGCGCTCCACACAGGTCCCAATTGCTTATCACTTGAATCCTGTCGAGGCTGGTGGCACACTGCACATCACTGCACGTAGCAGCATAGCATCTGTTGGCTACTGAAACTTTCCAGGCTATGGAAAAGGCAATCTTACAGAGCCGCGCATCGTGTCGCAGCTGCAAGTGCACGCGGGACTGATGAACATCAAAACCTTAGGCGATGCACCGACTGTGCTGGTTGACATGCTGCATACAGGCATCCCAGTTGTGATGCCGCTGCCTGTTGTGCCTTCATGGCCTTCTTCATTGCAAAGGCTCCCAATGGCTCGCAAGTCGACGGGATTGTGTTACTTTCGGACTTTCGGGCAAGCCCCAAACAGGCGATTCGTCTGCACAGCCAGGGCCTGTCACCTGCCAGAGCCCAAGGCTCCAACTCCGTTTAATCAAGCGCTTACGCGGCCTCTCGTTTTCGTCTTTTGTTGGCACCCAGGCGCCTCAAGACTTCATTGCCACTGCCGGGGGCTCGTGTGTTCCTGCCCGGAACAACTTCGCCTGTCATCAAAGTGTCTTCTTGACGAGTTGAGGCTGCACCATGTAGCAGTAAAGTACTTCGCTGAGTGGTCCAATGAAATGTTTTACCAGAACTCCACTGCACCCACTGCAGTCCAATCCAGTCCATTGTGCCCCGCCGCAAGCCCATCCCGACAACCACTGAATGACCACTCCGCACTCTACTTGCCTTGAAGCAGGTCATTCCCGAATTCCTCGCAAGCGGATTTCAGGCAACGACTGATGCCGCAACTTCCAAGCATGCTGCGAGTAGAGTTTGCAAAAGATGATGGGCCAGGACTTGGCTGCTTTTCGAAACATGGCGGGTGCAAGACTCAACCAGCCTTCTTCAGCTTGCCCGGCACATGGGGCAAGATGCCGTGGACAAGTGACTGAGGTTGTGGAAGATCCGACGGGGTGAGCCGAATCCGCGCGGTGCTGACCTGCACACCACCGAGCCCCAAGGAGTTGCGAACCTCGCCATCATTCGGACCTTCAGGTAGGCCTACATGCTCACTGTGGGAGGAAGCTAGCTGGGACTGGAAGTCGACAGAGCTCCAGATTTGGGAGGCACGGCCTCTTTGCCAAAGGATCATACGTAAGGTCACACAAAAAGAACTGCTTGTGGTCGTGCAGCATTCTCGCTACGGCGAGGCCATGAAGGAGCGCTGGAAGGACAGAAGGCGTTCTGGTTGCAGAAGCCGTTCGCTTGTGTGCCAAGAGCTGCCCAACAGTATTACTGTTCAGGTACAACGGGCACCCAATCATCGATACCTACTGGGGTGCGTATTGTCACTGCCCCGGAACTTCTGCAAGAAGATTATTATTGAGCCGTTGCAACTTACAGGTTCAGTGTGGAGGGGGGGCCTATTTCCATGCTTTGCTCCTGTTTTCCCGTTCTACATGCTGCTGTTGCTTGCTTGTAGTTTTCTGCTTGTTTGTGCTTTTGCTTCTTCTGCTTCTTTGCTTTTCCGCCGCCTGCTTGTCTGCTTCGCTTTTGTGTTCCTCCGCCTATCTGCTTTTCCGCTGTTCTTTCTGCCTTGTGTCTGTGTTTGCTTCTCGTTTGCTGCTTGTTATTGCTTGTTCTTGCTTTTGCTTGTGTGCTTTTCTGCTTTTCCGCTTTGAAGCTTCTCTGCTTTCATGCTTCGCTCTTATGCTCCTCCGCTTTTCTGCCTCTCGGCTTCACTTTTCTTTTTCTTCCCTCATCCTTCAGGTCTCGTCCTGCTCCGCCTTTCTCCTTCTGGTGAACTCTGAGACCCTATTATTACGACGACGACGACGACGATGACTACTACTACCACTACTACTACGACTACTACTACTACTACTACTACTACTACTACTACTGCTACAACAAAAACACAGAGTCCATAAGGATGCTATCAGAACCTATGCTACAGTATTTGATACTTTGCAAATGGGAGGAGGATGAGGAGGGGGGGCTGCGCCCTCACACAACCCGCTTCCTGTTTAAGCCAACCTCCGCCTCAAGGGTTTGGGCTAAATCGCTACATGAGACGGCATATTTAAGATACATGAAGAACCGGAATCGCCAAATGTGGGGGCGTGTTTAAGATGTATGATGACATGAAGCGGAATCGCCACATGAGGGGGCCTGCTTAACCTGTATGATCCCGGTTCTCCGTTCGCCGGCCCTTCCCCCCTTCCCCAATGGTATCCCCCCCCGCCAGGTCCAAATTTGCCGAATCCCTGTGACTGGGCGCACTTCTCCCACGCGAAGTGGCGGCTCCAAAACCATCAGCTGTCACGAGGATCTCGTCCCAAACACACCCGATCCTTGTGACGGTGGACACTTTCCACCCAAGACTCTGCCATGAGGGTATTGAAAATGCATTTGTCACCACGATCGCGTTCCTGTCAGGCCCGCTTTTTGTGGCAGTCGGCCCAAGAAAGGATGATGATGATGAGGATGACAATGAGGGTGACGATGACGATGATGATGATGATGATGATGATGATGATGTTGATGATGATGCTGATGATGATGATGATGATGACGATTTCGAAACACAAGCCCCTGGGCCCGAGTCCTTTGAGAGAGTTGTGCCATCTCACAAGCAGGCCATACGGTAGATGAGCGATGGCTCTGGAGAAAGCGCGGACAGCACCCCGAGCACAGAGAGGACCCCTCGTGATCATGATCGCCACGGCCCTCCTAGCGCTGCTGAAGCAAACCGCCGATGTGGACCACCGCCACCGCCCGGAGCCTATATTCACAGAGAAAGCCGAACTACGCCACCAGTGGATGAGCCACCAGAACGACCGCCTGGACAGGATGCAACAGCAGCCCCGCCGGAGGCTGCAAGCACGTCCCCACCGGCCTCTGCCCATGAAGGAGACGAAGAAGAAGGAGAAGGAGATGGACACTCCAGCGACGAAGCTGCCTCGAACACCTCCTGCACATGGTCAGAGACCAGCCTGGTCCTTGAGAACGAGGAGCTGGCCAACGCCGTGGAACGACTGCACACCCTATATCGCCTCGAGTTGCAGGCGAGAGCGATCCCAGCCAGATCGCAGTCTGGCTGCCTTGGTGGTCTTAGGCGCAAAACAAATGGAGCCACGTGGTTCCAAATCCAAGCGGAGGCGACCATGCGCCTCACAGGAGATCGCCTCCGAGAATGGCAAGTCTACGAACACGAGCACACCCATGAGAGGCGACGACGGCGACGCTCCCGCTCCGGCCGTAGGACTGAGTAGCTGGCCTTGCCAGCGCCGGCCACCGTCGACAAGCTGGGGCACCTGTGAAGCTGCAGCTGCAGCGACCATGCCAGGACCTGCGAACCTCACTGCCCCCTTGGGTTTAGGACCCCTAGGTTTCCTCCCTTTCTCTTGGAATAAGGTCTCGTCACCTAATACAGTAGTCTGCAGACGCACAAACTCACCAAAGTACATAGGCCCCTCCGGTCCCAAGTCCGAAGGCCGCAGGCAATCCCTGAGACCCTTAGGATTTATCATCCTACATGCCGCGGCTGGGGTGAGGGTTTCTTCTGCTGTCGCGACAGAGGACGGACCTCAACGCTGGCTCCGCCAGCGGGGGGGGAAGCACAGCGACCCTGCGCAAACAGGCAGGATGGCCACCCCAAACCCTAATCCCCATCATGATATCCTCACTCACAATAATAAGAGAGCATATAAGAGAGCATGCCGCAGAGCCAACCAATCTGCACAGGAAGGCACCATGTACAAAGGCCGCTGGCACTCTCGGCAAGCCCTTGCCTCAATGTACCAGGCAAACAATTCCCCACTCCCAAAGCCTCTGCAGACATCGAGACGAACCGCGCCGCGAACCGCCAGAACTGCCAGGCCCGTGCCGCAAATTCGAGTCTTCAGTTGGAACACCGGTGGGCTGACTTCAGGGATTTACCAGGAACTCTTAACATGGCTGCAAGCCAACGGGCCATGGGATGCGGCCATTCTACAAGAGACACACTGGAAGGAGGTAGCCGACTACACTAGTGGGGATTGGTGCTGCATTCACACCTCGGGGCACCAGGCTACCACCACCTCGCCGGACCGAAGTGCGGGAGTACTGATCATGCTCTCGAAGAAGGCCTTCGGGGACGTTGCTACAGCGGAGTTGGTAGCAGGACGTCTTTTACATGTCAGGGCCACACACAAGCAAAGCATGATCCCTATCGACTTCTTTGGTGTCTATCAACATGTGCATAGGCCGCAGCTTAGCGAAGCTAAGAACCGTCAGCTGCGGGGAAGTGTCTTGACCAAGCTCAGACAGACCCTGGATGCATTGCCCGCCAGACATCAGGTTGTCATTGCTGGAGATCTGAACTCCACGGTTAACCCAGCACATCCGCACATAGGCAAGGCAGTGCCCAAGGCATCCTCCCAGCAAGCGGACACGGAGCTGCACAACTTGATAGTGGAACAGGACCTGTGCGTCCTGAATACCTTTCACGCCAGACCGGCGTACACGTACCGATCCACCACAACCCAGAGCCAAATTGACTATTTAATGGTCAAAGCCAAGGATTCTGGTTCTAGGGCTAAACTCTCCGCCCCAATAGGATCCTTTCCGGTTGCGGGTGATAGACTAGTCAACCACCTCCCTTTGCAGGCCCAGCTACCCGTGCGACCATTTCAGCTGCAGCCGGAAGCTCGGCCCACTGGTCGGCCCCAGCTTGACATAGCTGCTCTGCAAAACGCTGCCACGGCTGACTCGGCCACTGCTGAACCCGAGGCCCTGCAGAGTGCAGTGGCCGCCCGCATCGCCGATCTGCCCCAGCCGGAGCAGGTGCCCCTTGATAGACTGCACAGTATCATAAACACCTTCCTCCTTGAGGAAGCAGCGAAGATCTTCCCGCCGCAGCCTAAGCCAGACCACCGTGTCAGTGCCCACCCTGTCTTCAAAGCCAGTGCCGCGCGCACGTGGCAATTCTACCACGCCATGCGTGCCACAACAGGCCTGTCTCTGAGCAATGTGTGGAGCAAATGGCGAGCCTATGCCAACTTCATGCGAGAATCCAAGCTGCTTCGCAAACAGAGCCGCCAGCTTAAGACAGAATATCATCATGATAAGCTGCAACAAGCCGAGGAGGCTGCCAAGCGAGGAGATCAGCGAGGACTCTTTCAGGTTGTCAAGCAGCTTGCACCCCGGCGAGCTCGGGGGGTCTCACGCATCAAAGGTCCGGAAGGCCAGCTCCTGTCGGCCTCGGAGGAACTTCAGGCAATTATCAAGTACAGCAAAAACACCTTTGCTGCTCTTCCGGATGAGGCCCCATTGCTCCCCCTGGGAGAAGGGCTGCACTTCAAGTTGGAGGACATTCAGCACCAGCTGGCTACCCTCAACCCGCGCAAGGTGGTGCCACAACACATCGCTCCCTCTCCCATCTGGAGAATCTGCGCAGGCAGCATCAGCGCCACGCTGACGACGGCATTGAATCTGCACTTCAAGGCGGGCCACAGTGCTGCACTTCAGGGTGACATGAAAGACACATATGTGACTTGGCTCCCGAAGCCTGCCAAAGCACCAACCGAAATAAGTGCCCTCAGACCAATAGGTCTCATGCCTCCATACCCCAAAATCCTGGCCGGGCTACTCGCTGACCAGATCCAGTGGTACATTGCCCCCATGCTTAACCAGTTCCCACAATATGCCTACAGCGCGGGAAGGGGATACTCAGATGCTCTCTCCCGGGTGCACAGCCACTTCGAAGCTGTGGAAAGACTGCTACAGGATAACCACGAGGACAGGTTCAAGCGCAGAAGGGGGGCAATATCCTTGGAGTGCGTGGGGGGGGGCCTGCTTGTCACTGGACCTTTCCAAGGCATTTGATAGTGTAAGCAGAGGCATCCTTGCAAAATCATTACAGGACCTTGGCATCCCGCCGGACATCATAGCTGCCATACAACAGCTGCACAAAAAGGCCAGCTACCATTTTGATGTAAGGTCGCACAAAGGGAGTGTTACCACGTCAAACGGCATCAAACAAGGATGCCGGGTGGCACTCATCTTGTGGGTTTGCTTTAGTCTTTCATTTATGCAGGGCCTTGTCGGCCACCGAGATTTAGCATGGCTACAACGGATCATAACCTTGTTCGCCGATGACATGGCCGCCTGCTGGACCATTGCAAGCAAGGCAGAGTTCTTACAAGCGGTTAGGGACGTAGAGCTCCTGTTGGAAACCCTCGCAATCTTTCAACTTAAGGTCAATCTTAAGAAAACCGCTTTCCTTCTGAGACTTGAGGGGAAAATTGCCGAACATGTCCTACATGAGCACACCTACCAGACGGACGGCCAGCAATATCTTAGGGT